TTTTCTCCCCCCAGCTTCCCCTTACCCTCCTGGTATGCCTACTCTTATTATTGGTCCTGGGGGGTTTATCTTGCCTGGATTCCCTGTGTTTCAAGCTCTTATCTGTACCTGTGTACATGCTGTGGTCTAGCTGGATTTGTATGGTAGAATTAGGGTCATGATAGTTGGGGAGAGGAAGCATTAAAGAACTAGAGGAAAGTTGTGTTTCATCGGTGCTACACTGCACCCTGGCTCATCTCTTCCTTGTGACCCTTCTATAAGGGGATGTCCAGTTGTCTACAGATGGGCTTTGGGTCTCTACTCTGTACTCCCCCTCATTCACAATGATACCTGATCCCATTGACACCTCATGATCTGGTGTCTTCTTCCATGTAGGCTTTGTTGCTTCTCAGCTAGATGGCTGCTTGTTTATTTTCGAGCCTTTAAGACCCAGAAGCTATATCTTTTGATAGCTGGGGACCATCAGCTTTCTTCACCACATTTGCTTATTCACCCGCTTTGTCTTCAGCAATCTTATCGGGAATGTGAGCATCACAGAATGCCATGTTACATAGGTATTTTTTTAATCCATCTACTTACTTACACTTCCCTTTATCCCTATGTTGCCCTGAAAAAAGTTCTTTAAGATATACAAGAGCTTTGGGATTCCCAGTTCCTTAATGTTTGACCTCTTGAATCAATGGCCCACCTGTAATGAGTTTACCTATTAATTCTGAGTTTGAAGACATCATGACTGTGATCCAAGCCTTCCCTGGTTGAGTGCCAATAGCAACTGGACCTGGAGACAACATTCCCTCCTCCTGGCCCCTACTTATACGAAGAAAAGTGAAGATGATCCTGCCCTCTCACTTGACCAGTGAGGCATAAAACTTCCTATCTGCCTCTGAGAGCCTTGGGAAACTCATTATTTATGATTCTACTCTAAATAGTTCTCTCTCCATCCTCCACCCTTCTGGCTTGTCAGACCTTAGCAGGTTCCTGCAGAGTTTTTGACTTGGTGCAATAATCTGTACACTGCTTTTTGAAGTTAATTGCATTTGCTACATCTTTGTATCTTCCCCAAACAGCAAGCAGGAGGTAACTCTAGATATCTGTACCATTTCTGTAAACATTCTTGATTTTCTTCTGCCTGACTGTTTTGTCACATGGTGGATTTGCTTTTGCCCACCTCCAAGGAGCATCTTCACAGGGCCCACTGACTCAGAACCCCTCCTGGAGCCATGGCCTTGGCTCCCACCAGCCGAGAAGTATTGCAAATTTGGGGCAACATGGAGATTTTGACTTGGCAAGGAACTTGTGGCAGACAAAGAACCCTAGTAATACAATG